GTACAAAACAATATTAATGTATTATTCAATTCATAACTTAGGATGGTAACAATTTATAAATATAATATTAAGATTTACGAGTGATTCCTACTTATCTTTTCCTATCTACCAATGTCAAGAGGTACTCGGCATCTCGCATGTAACGATTCACCAACAACTTTTTTTAATTAATATTTAGTTAATTTTCTCATTTTTAAGATTTAGCTTCTCAAATATTTTTTCTTTCGACGAGAAAGAAGAGTGTTTTATAATTCTATCATTCGTTATTTTACTTTTTATTTCACTGTTTACCTCTCCAATCCAGCGAGTATAGTTTTATACAAGTTCAGTTTCAGTAATTTGCATATGTTAATTTTTACATAAATGTTAGCGTGTTAATTATACGTTAAATTCACCAAATTGCAAATGGTTCCAACATGTCAAAGTGTCCAGTCAGATTTGTGGTCTATAAAAATATTGCTTTATATTTAATTATCTTAATTGTTATAATTTTTTTACTTCTAAAATATGTTCAAGATAATTTGATAAAAACAATGAACGGTACTAAGTAACGATGAAAAAAACAAAATAAAATTTAATGTTATAATTATTTAACATATTTAATATTTATTATTTTTTAAAAATTAGATAAAATTACAATTATCTATGTTATTAATGTATCATGATAACCTTTTAATTTTAACACATAATTAACCCCATGTAATAAAAGAACATTGACGAACATCATTTATTTATATTTATTTATTTTTATTTAATTATGTTTAAATAAACCATATTTTTTTAAAATTATTTTTAAATAACATAGTATATGGAAGTGTCGGTAATTTATATATTAATATTTTTTATTTTAAATTTAAAAAAAATTAAATATAGCATAATTAGTATATGATTATATTTTGCTTTAATCTAATTAAAAATTTAATGGGAGTATATCCAAAGATGATGGTGTTATAATGCATTAAAAAATGAAATATGTCTAGATTACATTTGGTGATGCTCTCATTCATTTTGTTTTTTTCTCAAACTTAGCAATAAGAATCGTGCCTTATTCACGACTTTTTAATGTTGGATGATTTTTTTTTCTATCACATAGATACGAGATGAGAGGTTATTTATAATTTTCCTTTTCAACATTCTATGGGAAAACAAGGATGTCTTGAATGTTGAAAAGAATCATAAATCAAACACATAATTAAAAAAAAAGTAAAAAAACTAATAATAATCAAATTTAATTTTAAGAATTTAGGGGTTATGGTATTTTCTTTTTTTACTAATTTAGAATTCAAAAAAATAAGAAAGAGTTAAGTTTATAATTACTATATTACTACTGGTTTTGTCTAAATAAACCAAAGGTAATTGTTTCATGTATATTTGTTTTGAGAAAAAAAATTTCATATCCATTCTTACTCAATGATCATTTTTATAACTTAGTGGTTAGAATCTATACATCATTGATAACTTCATAAGTTGTGTTTAGGAACAGAGTGTTTGGATCAAGGATCCATGTATTTTAGATATAATTGTTTAATATCTTACATTGTATTTAGGAACAATTATTACATTTGAAATATTGTTTGCTTTGAAATTTCAGTCTGTCACACATTTGTTCTTAAAATATGTTTTAGTGGGTTAAAAGACGAACGTGTATATAAATTATTATTGGTTTCAACTTTTAAATGATGTAGAACTTATGAACATATCGGAATATAATCCCTGAATTGAAGACTAAGCGGTATGAATGGAGCGATATTCTATATTTGGCCCTAGGGTGAGTGCCAATGTTTTGTCTTGGAATGAAAATATTTTTGTTAGGCTAAAATTAATAATTGGTGTTAGAAACGTTTTTCCTGATAGTTTTGAGAATTAAAAAGTTTTTTAAAGTTTAGAAGCTATTGTTGAGGAGCATTGTTGTGAGACTTTTTGGTTTCTAGGGAGTTAATCTTATGGTTTCTAGAGAGTACTTGAAAAGTGTTTAAATAGAGCATTGTAATTTTGTTTTCAATATGACAAAGAATCAATAAAACTGAAGTTTCCAAGTTTCTGAGAAATTCCTTGTTATCAAATTTGGTATTAGAGCTCTTAGGGAGAGCCTAGATTTTGAGTTGTTTTTTAGAAGAACTAGGATTCTTCAGAAGAGGAAAAGCTAAAGTTTTAGTGTTGAGTGTTTAAAAAGTGAGATGACTAATCTGACGAATGCTAGACGTCTATGAAGAACCAGAGACCACGTAAGGGTTGTTGACCAATGCACTCAAAACATTTAAAAAGAAACGTTCGAAGAATTGTGAAACTCTGTTTTTATTGTTTCGAGCTGTAGAAGATTCCGATTTTGAGAAGATTGTAGGAATCAAGTTAGCATCATATGCATGGAACGAGTGGAGAAGGAACACAAGAAAGATGACTGAGTCATCCAAGTTTGGCGTCAGACACTATGAAGCGAGATGAAGAGTATGAAGATGAAGGAATTAGAAAAAAATTTCGAATATGTCTCGCATGTTGAAAATGTGGCAAAACATCTTAACAAGCACGGAGAAAGTTTTCAAGAGAACAAATTGTTGAAAAGGTCTTATGATCATTAACAAATGACTTTGAGAACGTAATGTGTGTGATATAACAAGCAAACAACTTGTCCGATCTTACAATAAAGGAGTTTATCGGTTCTCTTTAAGCCTATGAACACTAAATGAAGAAGGAGGAGGATGAGGACACATGTGAGAAACTACTCCATAACAAGGAGAAGATGCTCTATTATTAGAATAATAGAGGAAGAGGACGTCATGGTCGGTCTCGAGGTGACTGATTTGGACGAGGTGGATTCGATGACCAATATGAGAAGAAGGAAGAGGGGACTTAGAAAAACTGGCGAAGTAGTGGATCGAGAGGAGGTCACTCAATGAACCACTGAGATGTTGAGTGTTTCAAATGTGACAAGTATGACTATTATGCGAACGATTGCTACTCGGAAAAATGATTTAATGGAAAGGAAGGATATTATGTGAAAGAATGTCAAAAAGTGGATGAGACCTATCTTTCAAAGGAAAAGAAAACTGAAGTAACATTGTTGACCGATCTCAACATGAGATTTACAGTGAAAGAGTTCAGGAAGATATCGATCACAAGTCAATATGATATTTAGATAAGGGTGCGAGTAATCACATGTGTGAGGACGATCACCTATTCAACAAATTGGAAAAATTTGAGGGCGATCATATTTCATTTGGGGACGCTTCAAAGATCTCAGTAAGAGGTCGAGTTACTGTTCGTTACTTGCAGAAGGATGACCTAATCGGGTCAATCCAAAATTGTTTTATGTTCTTGATCTCTAGAGTAATATTTTGAGTGTGAGACGGTTGATAGAGAGAAGATACTTAATTTTCATGAAAGATCGAGTACTTTTATTAAGGAACAAAGTTTGGAAGGTTGATTGCCCAAGTCGAGATGAAGAATATTATAATGTTCAAGTTACAATTGAGAAGCATTCGAGAGAGGAGTCTGAGATCAAATGTAGTGAACATGTTGAAGAAAAATTATCGATTTGGTCACAGACATTTTTGTGGTTTAACAGAGTTAATTCATGATGATAATCATGATATTGTCCGAGTTAGTGATACAAATGAAAGAGATCGAGTAGGGCAAGTTGTTGCACCTGCAGTTGTTGTCAAATCGGAAGGAGACCAAACTTATATGCCCCCAGTTGTTGTCAGATCAGAAACTGAGAAGGAAGAAATAACAATGAAGAGTGTGATGCTCGATTTCCCGAGCATGGAGGAGAAAATTTGTGAAGGTGGGATGCTCGGAATGCCAAATATGAAGGAGAGAGTTTGTAGAGGAGTGGTCGGTAACTAGGCGTGTACCCTACTTAAGAAAGTTTTTAGATGAGTGGTCGATAACAAGTATTCAAGAAGGATGAGAAATTTGTGTTGATCTTTTATTGAGCTCACTTATAAGAAAAAAGATGAAAAATTGCTATGTAAGGTGGACGTCAAGTTTAAGATGACCAATTGCAATTGGGTATCAATCTCCATGAAACCAGAAGTGAATAGGTTAGACAATTACCAACTTGTAGGGTACTTAAATAATGACTGGTGTGGAGATAAGAACAAATGATGAAAAAAACTTAAAGTGATAGAAAATAAGAAATTGGAAGTTGGCTAATAAGTAATTTGAAAGTTTGGAACCCGAGATATTTTGAATGCCAAAATGTTTTGAAATGGGTAATTAGATGATTAGAATCAAACCTATCTTATTTTTAAAGATCAAGACTAGTCGAGAGTTGGGAGGTTGTGATGAAGGTGATATCAAATTTTTCTTTAACATAAATAATTAATTTTACAAGAATTTTGATAGAATAATTTATGTTAATTTTCAATTTATATATATATATACACCCAAGTGTGGAATAAAATATTTCTTTCTTTCTATATTGATCGTGAATTTAATAGATAATGCCGTAGTTTAAATCAAGTTGGGAAGCGGGATAAAACTTGACAAAAAGTTGCAATTATACAAAAATAACAGATGGTGATAATGGAAATCCCAAAAAAAAAGAAAATTTAAAGCCTTTCCCAAGAAGAATATAATAACGCCATAATTCAACCAAGACCAAGACTTCAAAGTATACATAATTGAAACTAATTTGCCAACCCATCACGTACAAATGAACAATTTGCACACAATTTTTTTTTTTTTTTACTCTTCAATAGTGAAACCTTTACTTTATTCCGTATCTAACGATTCTCACTTTTTTTTTTCTTCCACGAACATCGTTGAGTATACCAAGACTTCGTGTTAGACGAATATACCTCGAATAAAATGAAACCCTTTTCCCTTATTTTCAACAAAAAAACAAAGGAGAAAGGAAAATAATAATTGCCATCTTTCTCTGCGCTAATCCTCACGTAGTGAACAGGTTTCTTTGGAAACCATGCGGCAGGTTCAGCTTGTATGCCCTATTTTTCTAATTTTTCTGTGACTTGTATACCTTTTTTTTTTTTTTCCTATTATCAGTGAAATTGAAGATATTGAGGACCCGGAAGTAACTGCCGATTCATGAGAGGCTGCTTGAACATGAAGTTCCATGGGGGGTTTTGATTTTGGAGGGTGGTGTTTGGAAAATTGCAAGAGGAACTATGGTGTTTGTTTGAAGGGTAAATCATGTCCTCATCCATGTTTGAAAGGTGGCGTTTGTGGGGAATCACTGAAGAGTTCTTCTGAAACAAGTAGCTCCTATTATTAATATCATTGCTGTTGGAGTAGTTTTGGGGAGTTTCATGATCCAGATTCTCAGAATTGAACAAGGGTTCACTTGTGTTTGGATAAGTGGAGTAGTGGTTCTCTGATAAGATGGTGCTGAGCATGGAGAAGTCTGTGGCATCCAAAAGGTTGGAGAAGGATAGAGATTTTTGAGAAACGAATGTGGCCTGTGGAGGAGGGAGAAACATTGGTGAAAGGGTGTCTTTGATTTTCTCCTCTTCTGCTCCACCTTGCTCATTCAGTTGCACTGTTGGTGATGCCTCTGTTATTGAACATACAGTACTGTGTTTGGACTTCTTGTATATCCGGCACAGAACCCACTCATCCAACTGAACCAATAAAAACAGTATTAGTCAATTAGTTATTAATAATACAAGGATGATATATTTGATCCTTAAAAATATTATTAGTTATTAATAAAAACATTATTAATTAATTAGTTCAAAATATTATTTGTTTTAGACTTTTTTTAAAGGGCCAAGATGATTTTATAAAACATGCATATAACTTATTACAAATATCACCCTCTTACCATGATTGATGATATTACTTGTTTTATGGAGACACAAACTAAACAAAATTATATATAGTTTAACATAAGATCCATGGTAGCTTTTTTAAATATTCTTGAAGTTTTTTTTTATTGGTTGTCATGCAAATGTTAAAATACATTGAAGTGGTGGGGACTCACCCTCATGGAAGTGTCCTTCATCCTAATGGGTTTATTGGTGTGAACAAGGCGATATTCATGCATGATCCAATTGGTCTTCACACCCTTTGGGGGTCTTCCTTTGTAAAACACCAAAGCCTTCTTCACACCAAAATGTTCTCTCACTCCTCCTGCCATTAATGATGCAACTATGTTCTTATCAGTGCCTGTGGCCTTCCAATACCCTGAGGCAGCTGCCCTGTTTGGCCTCGCTCCGTTTGGGTACTTCCGGTCTCTTGGACTGAAGAAGTACCACTCTTTCTCCCCAAACGCAGCCTTAGCTGTTAAACAAATCGAAACCAAAAGCAAAAGAATCTTTCCCATTACACACTGTGAAAAAGAAAATAAAAGGAAAAATCTAGTGCACATGAATAACACACGTCAACCTAATAACTTGAAACATGCTATATCTATCTTAATTATCTTTATAAATTAGCAATATTAAAACTAATAGATATTTATAAATTTTAAGCCATGAAATATTTTTATTTCTTCTATTGTTGGCTACAATAAAAAAATGGTGTAGTGATAGACAAGGTCGCAAACCTGGTAGCTCCCATGGATCACACTTGTAGATATCAACCTCAGCAATGATGGAAACTGGCAAAGGAATAGAGGCCACCTTCTTCCTTAGGTAGTGAAGAATGAGCTCTTCATCTGTAGGGTGGAACCTAAACCCTGGTGGTAAGTTGTTGGATTGTGGGGTTCCCATAACCCTAATTTAATTAACTAACAAAGAAAATATATGTAAAGAGAAAGAATTTTGTGGGTAAGATTGGGTGGATATAGTGAAAAATGAACACAAAGACACAAGCTAACCTTGAGGGAGAGGATTGAAATTTTTGGGGTTTGAAGGGAAGGCCTTTTATGGGTGTGGAATTTGTCCTCATGTGGGGGAAGAGATTAGGCCAAGGCACAAAGGGGATGAAGGTTCAAAGTTTTCCAAAAGTTGAAAGAGAAAGTAATGTGGTGGATTGCCAAAGGTTGAAAGAGAAAGAGGGACACTTTGGCACACCAATTCGCATGTGCTATCACATACTCACACTTCAATCTTGTCTTGTCGTTTATAGGAAATCTATGACCTTGAAATGAGGGTTGTAATTGTGGCGGGTAAGTCACATAATAATCATCATCGTCAAGATAAGCTTGCGGCACGTGTCCACCAAATCAAAGTAGAATGATTGGTGGATTGCATCTCTAGGGTGTTGTTGGTGTCCACGTTCGATTTCATTCTTAATAAAAAAAATAACTGAAAATAAATATGATTTGGTTCCATTTAATTTTAATTCAATATAACATTTAATTTTCATTGATTTTGTATTTTTTTTACTATAAAATTGTGTTTAATAAGTATTATAAAATTATTAAATATTTTTAATAAAAATTCTAAAATAAAAATATTTGTGATAAAGTAAATTTGTAATCATAGTTTTAATTTTCTTATACCTTCTTAAATAAATAATTTAGTTGAATTTGATTTGTTTTTTTGTTTGAAATATTGAAAATTGAACTAAATGGTTGGAATGAGAAAAAAGTAAAACAAAGCAATCTTCAATTTTGATAATTATTTTTTTTTATGTTTTGATTAATTTTAGACTAATTTAGTTTTAAATACTCGTACCACCTTCTCTATGTAATAATTCTATGGAAATGGTAGCGCAGATAGTAAGAACAGTTTATTATACGTAGGATAAATACTTCATAGTGTTGATGAGTACTAAATTACAATTATAATTTTCTTTAACTTATGGTATGTGATTTAATGAATATATATAAAAACTAAAGTATTTTTCTCTTCTATTATTATTATTATGATGGTAACTAAAATAAAATATTATTCAATAATTTCATCTTAATTTTTTAAAATTTATTTATTTTTTTAAAGACATAAGTGTTTTTATGAAAGATAATTCTGGTCGTGATAGATAATATTACTATAAATAAATAAAAAATCTGAACATTTGATCCAAATTTTAAAATCTACAAAATATGTTATACCTTCAGATTAAAATTAAATCGTATTTTATATTTTCAAAAAAATCTTATCTTCAAAATATTCTTGCAAGAATTATATTATTGTATTCAAATTAAAATGAAATGAATGTTATTTTCATATTTTTACACTAATTTGATTCATTAGAAGAATATAATAAAGTAAACTTGATGTATATAACTAAATAATAGTATATAAAAATATGTATCATGTATTTACAATAATTAAAATGCTAGTTGTTATTGTTATAATAAAAGTTATATGACTAGTTATTCATATACTTTATTTTGACTAACGCATTCTTCTCACTTTTGATAAAATCCATTTTTATACACATTGATTTGTCTTTATTAAATGTTTCGGCTTAAAAGAGGGTTAGAAAATGGAAACATACCAGATCAAGATTTTTTTTAATATCATTTTTTTGAGCATTGACCAACTTCAATTTTTATTTTAATTTTTCTCGAACTTCAAGTATTTTCAATTGGATGTGCATTTTGTTTTTTTTAAATTTCATAGCGTGAATATTGACTATGTTTGCATTTTGAACAAACAAAAATCTTCACATGATGAAGACGCAATAAGAAGATATATATTCTGACAAAAATCTTAAACAAAAAGGAAATTCTTGAAGAAGAATTGGTCCATGGCCTTAATGAAACTAAAGTGTTATGATAATCCAATTTTGTGATTACTACATTGTTGTTGCAATACCACATATATCCATCAACTCAAAAAACATCGAAGTGCTTTCATGTGGTCTAAAATAACTACTTCGTTGACTGTTCAACACTTTGCTTAATTGGAAAGGAAAGTTTCATTATTGCTCAATATATATATAAACTTTTATTTATACCTTCGGCTCGTTGTGGAAAATCAAATCAAAGTGATATTTTTTTTTAAAATAAAAAATAAAAAATTTGTCAAATGTGGAAATTGGCTACGATTTTTCAAATCTATGATTTGAATATAGTTTATTTACATGAAATCAGTTATATTTTGCAAGACAAAAAAAAAACGCCTAAAATATTATATTAAAAGTTTGTTAAGTTACTTCATTAAACTAGAAGTATTTTGATTAAATTATATGTTAGAATAGTTAATAAATATAAAATTGTAAATATAGACATTTTATTTATAATAATATTCTTATGTGAATTTTAAGCTTTTCTTTTATTGATAAAATATTTTCTAATTCATGAGGCATACTTTTTTTGTTAGTGGATTAATTTTTTCAATTACATTTTTTTTAGTTTTAATATGTTATTATAAAAAATTATAACAACAAATAATCTTTAATCAGGATGGTCGAGAAGTTCACATACCTAGTTAAGACAACATATATTAAATATATTAAGTTAAACTCTATTGAATATTAAAAAGACTGGAATAGCTATGCGTGAAGATACTATTATGCTTATGTTAATATAACAATAAAATATTTAGATAATAAATAGATAATTTATATTAGCATCTTAATAAAAGAATATAGTAGTCATATTTATATAATTCTTATCCGAGTATTTAAGTAATCATTTATTTACGTTTGAACTGATTATTACCTTATTAATATAACATTATGTGTAATTGAGCAAGTAGGTATATTAATTATATATTAATTGTGTAGTATTACCATAGCATGGATTAAAGAAATTAATGGAAATAATATTTTCATTAGATATAATAAAAATAAATTTCGACTGCCTACATAACCTCTTAAACTTAAGTCTCAATAGGGTATAGATGAATGAATTTGACTTACGTGTTAAGTTGTAATACTTTATCAAACTAGTGCTTGACTAAGGATAATGTATTTCTATGGATTGTTATTAGCGGTGGTTTTAACTTCTTATATACCTTATGATTGCTTCTGACATATATCAATGAGGGGTTTCACAAATAATGTGTCCATAATTAATGTGCAATCGCAAGTATTGATTCTAACTCATTTTGTATTCATTATGTTATTTGATGTTTTGTTGAGCTTTCTTCTTCAACTTTCTTCTCCAAGTTTTCTAGGTACGCTTTAATTCTTAAACTCCATTGACATCATGTTTTCTATTTCTTGTTCTAGTTTTTATGGTGACTCTAATAAATTTGTTTTTGTTGAACCCTTGGTTGGTGAGCATGAAGTTCACCTTATTGGTCATGAACCAATCGAAGAAGAGAGTTATTTTGTTGTGGAGAAAAGAGATTCTCCTTCCCCTATAATGGTGGTTTACTATCATAATGGTTCCTCCTAAACATTAAGAGCAAAAAACTCAAAAAATATGATTAAGGTTGGTATGATCTCAACTAGAGGATTCAGAGGACTAGGTTACCTCCCATCTCATATCCCAAGTATAGGTGATACAGTGGATCATATTTGTAAAACTTATGGTATTTTCTCAAATTCAATGTTGAGTTTGCTCTTGTTGAGGTTTGTTCCTCCATTAATCTTGTTTATATGAAACTTGCTTTAATTTCAAGGACTTTCCTTTCGTATATGACTGTTTATTTAAAAGATTAGATGTTCTTGTTTCTTTTACTAATTTTGAATGTGATATGTTATCCATTTTGTGTGTCTCCCTTAGTCAACTCTATCCCAATGGTTTTTTTTTTTGAAAGGTTTTCAAGTTTTGTGTTGCATTTTTCATTTGACCTATGTACTTTTATAAGTTAAAACATGGTCAAGATGTTGGTTGAGTGTCCCTTAATGGGTTCCAACATGACGACCTATTTACTCTTCTTCCTTTAAAATTTTCAAGAGTCATTTTTTTAAAATAAAATATTCTTGGAATGATCCATCCTAAATGCTTTTCCTTAATCCTTACAATATACTGGCTGATCCCTTACACTACCAAAAATAATTTATTTACTTGCACAAATTTAGCTACGGATTCAAAGGTAAATTACTATTTACCTACAAATTCTTACATACGTATTTGTATGTAAATCCTTATTTCCTACGAAGGATATAACTTATAGGTATGGATGATGTAATCAAATGTAATTAAATTGAGTTCTTATATATAGATATTATCTACGAATGTAGTAAAATATTTTATTAAAAAACTAAAATAAAACATTGGTGTCCTAAGTTCCTAATACCTCTTCTTTTTTTCTTATGCACAGTTGTAACACTTTTTCTTCAATATTTGTTCCCTAATTAACCTTTTCTCCTTTCCCCCGAATCCATCTCCTTACATCCCCTTCTTCATTCCCAAATCAATCTCTTTTCCAAAGCAGTGCTATAAAAAAAATTGTGTTATGATTTTCTCTATTCCTAATAGAAATAATAGTATTTGGTATTTTCAGCTTAAGATGCTCAACTTTGAATTTATTTTATACATCTATAGGGTTTTTATTCTCTAGTGGAAATTACCATTGTACTATATACACTTTCTAACTAATGCCTACTCCACAAAATGAAATAAAATCCTTTGTTTTTGGGATAAATGTATATTTTAGTTCTGATAATACCTAGTCCATACTTTACTAGTATTCTCGTCATTCTAAATAAATTGGAAAATATTGCTTAATTATTCTACATGTGAAAATTTGTTTAAGGTAGGAAAACCTATTAAGAAAACACAATTATCCTTTGCATAAATTCCTGACCCTAATGAGTATTTTGTTCCAAAATCACTAACACATGTTTGACACTAAAATTGGATTTTCACTCTAGTTTTAACATAGTTTTCATTTTGGATCAAAGTTATGACTAGCCATGGAACATGGCTTCCTCACTACTCTTGATTTATTCCTCAAAAGCATAAAGTGGAAGAAAAAGAACCCTGCAAAGTTATAAAGAATGATGACACTAGTAATAGAAAATAACTCACAAGAATGTAGGTTTCTATTTGTGACTTGTTATTTGATTGTGTGGATTGAATATTTTATGAGGATTTGTACTTTAATTTAAATATAATTATTTATTTAAACATAGGTATTTTTTGGTGTTCATTCCTTTTTAACATATTGCTTTAATATTTCCATAATTTTGTGGACAAATGTTTTAAACAACATTCCAAAACTCACAAATAAAGAAAACAAAGTGTAGTAGTAACATAGTATCTGAACTTATGCTTTGTACTAGGTCTCAATCATTTTGCAGAATTTCTGAAATAGTCCTCCAACTTCACTTTTAGACTTCATCAAACATAACCAAGTCATTCGAGTACAATCATCAATAAACGTTACAAACCACGTTGAGCCACCCAACGTTGTAACCTTAGATGAACCTCATACATCAGAGTGAATGATCATAAAAGGAAGAGAATTTTTATTTGAAATTAAAGAAAAATATGTTTTGTGACTCTTTGCAAGCTCACAAACATCACAATAAAAAGTTGAAGTGTCTACTTGGTCAAATACATTTGGAAATAATTTCTTTATGTAACCAAAAGATGCATGTCCTAGACGCTTATGCCATAACCAAATATCTCGCCTTTTCTTACTTCTTGAGACCCTTTTATTGCTAGCACTTGACCAAGTTTCTTTGAATCTTTTTCTATCAGGTCCAGGTAATACAACCTTCCTCACCTAATACCACAATCAATTATCTTCCTCGTTTGAATGTCCTTATAAACACAAGAGTCAGACCCAAAAATTACAACACATAAAAGGGCTTTGGTTATTTGCGAGATTGACAATAGGTTATATTTAAGAGAAGAAACAATAAGGACAATATCAAGGTTCAAATTATTTGAAATAGAGACAGTTCCTTCTCCAATGATAGTGGATTTACTACCATTGGCTGTGGAAATACTTTTTTGTGAGGAAGATTTAAGATTTTTAATCTGTCTAACATCAAAAGTCACATGATCAGAACACACAGAGTCAATTATCCATGCATTATTCAAAACGGTAAATGTGCTTATTAAAACCTTACCATTGGAATCATCACTACCTGCGATTATAGCAAGCATCATGCATTTGTCGTCCTCTTTGTCAATGGCAGTTACAACAACAACAATTGAATTTCTTTTTGAATTCTTCTTCGATGCTCGACTGTGATCCCACCACTCGGGGTATCTATGATTTCATAGCATCGTTCTTTGGTGTGTCTATCCTTATTATACTGTGTACATTTGTAGTTACCTTTTTCAAAATCTTTTGACTGCTTTGATGTGCTATAATAATTTGTTAGTTGCTTCTTTACCATCATAGTTGTGGAATCAAAGACCATATCTTCTGTTTTCAACGTTGTTTGCCGGATTTTTCCTCTCCGAATCAATGCATAACATTCTTTTAACTCAAGTGTCACTTCCTTGCGCAAGATTTCTCCACGAACTTGCTCAAAATTATCATCTAGTCCAACAAGGAA